TGGCGTTATTGTGGAAAACAATTTGAGCCGAAGATCCGGAAAGCTCAGGATAATAAATCTGGGGAGGCTTTTGTGATTCGAAAAAAGTTACAAGAATGGTAATTTACGCCTGTTAAACTCGTCCTTCGCAGATTTTTCCGACAATAGCTTATGGCCAGTGCCAACTGCTCGGCTCGTGCCATCGTCGTCGTCTCATTCACTCCCTTTTCGCGCCTTATGAATTCTTCAATTTCTTTATCCACCACATTGAAATTACCAGTTTCAGAGACGCTTGCAACGACACTACTACAAAACAGGAAATTTTATAATTACTTTTTTGATAGGTACTTTTCTGGATTGAAATTACGGTTTCGTGTTTTTTTTTTCACGAAATAATCCGGTTTTGCACCTTCTTCGTAACTTTCCCTCCGTAAAATGGATCGAAACGTCTTATCTCACTCTTACCTTCTTTTGTCAAATTGTTTTCTCATGCTGTAATCTTTCGCGTCTTCACCATTTAGGGTTTCCGGGTCAATCTGGATACTACAATTGGCCCAGGAGAGGGTTTATTCAAGTCCGCGGATGTGATTTTCAATCCTGTATTTCAGTGGAAAAAATTATCGGATGAGTTTTTTCCAGCTTGTTGTTTCTAAGTATACCAAAAAACGAATTTACAAGTGCATTAAGCACGGGTATGATATTCTGTGCTTCTACGGGACCGATTTTCGGACGAGATATTCTGAATTTGCGATTCATTTCTAATTTTCCTCCGCAAAACGGATTTACAAGTGAATTATTCATATTTCGAATTTAGAAAAAAAAAAGACGAATTTTATATTTATATTTCGAAAAAACGAATTTTTGGATGAGATATTCCAATTTTGTGCCTCCTTTCCAACTCTTTTTTTTTCGCAAAACAAATTAACACATGAAAGGCTCAAATCGATAAGTGAGTTTTTTAACTGCTAAAAAGTTTTTAAGTTTTAAAAGTTTTTTGAAAAATTCTGAAGTTTCTAAATCTTTAAAGTTTTTAATCCCTGCGTGCCTTTTTTTTCAGCCCCGTCTTTTCATAGAACAAATTTTTCGGACAAATTTTATAATTTCAGTTCTATTTTCTCTTTTTCATTTGAAAAAGGAAAAACAGAAAAAAAAATCATCGAAAATAATAAAACTATTACGACCTACTTCATATTTTGTTTTGGATTTCGGCAAGCTATATCCTTTTCTGTATTATCCCTGGCAGCATCCTGTTCCGGATTTCGGTCAGCAACATCTTTTTCCGCGTTGCATTCAGCAACAATCGGTTCCGGATCACGATCATCCGCATTCGTCGACCCATCGTTCCCAGTTTTGTCCGGATTTGAGGGATTGTCGGGATGTGCCATGAAAACGTGTCTGAAACACATACACACACACACACACACGCACGTACACCACCTGAGACCACCGTGTGGTTGTCATGGCTCTATACAGTTATGTGCAACACGATTTACCCATGCATAT